CCCCAAAACCCCAAAACCCCAAAACCCCAATTGGAAATAATAGAATGGATTCAAATGTTAAGATTATAGATAAATTAATTCATGATTATGATCTCGGCATGAGTATTAATGATAAGGCATTGCAATTGATTCAATACCTTCTTATTTCATTTGATTTTATACATATATGAATTTAAGTCTAGAGCCAGAGGTATAAACATAAGCTCTGTTTAAGTTTCATATCTTCATATTTAGAGATTACTTTGAGTAAAGGAGAAATACTGTTCCATAAGGCTTTATGGCTTAATGGAGTCACAGAACCCTTAGTCTCTAGCAATGATGAATTAGCTCCTCTCAATGAAAGAGCTGTCATCTTAGATTACGTCAATGGTGTTAAGGTATACAATAGGCTCAGCGTTTTCAAGAATTGCTGTGAGATTGGCATTTTTTTATTTTCTCATGTTTTTCAAATCTTTACCATTGGTGTTTCTTGTTCTCGAGAAGAAACTTTTGAACGATTTTTGATTTTCCTATTTAAATTATTATTAAATATCTTAGAGTTATCCATTTTCCCTTTTCGCCAGCAGATTGTTCAGATTATCTATGGATTTGCAAGAGAAATTGTAGGAGTAGAAATTTTAAAGGGTGTCTAGTTTTTATCCTTGAGACTTAGACTTTTTAATTCCAAATAAAAACTTTTTCTTTTACGTTTTCACTTCCTCAGGTATTGGAGCTGGAACATGACTCATAGTGAAATATGGATTTACCCAGAGCTCCTCCGCTGATGTTCTCTCACTCTCTTTAAATAATAGACAACTCTATAGTATTATGAGCAGGTCAAGAGAGGGTTTAAATTTTAATTGCAATGCAAAATCTCCCTTACTCATTTTACTACCAATTTACTCAAGATTACGGCCATTAAAAGGTCTCTGCCCGCTGATCATCTCGTAATATATAACACCCATAGACCAAATATCCGCTTTAAGCGAATAACCCTTCTCGTCAACCAGCTATGGAGACATATAAAGAGGTGTTCCACATATTGTGTCGGTCAGAGAACTTGAACCAATAAATTTAGAGAATCCGAAATCAGCAATCTTGACAGTAAATTCAATTTTGGAGAGGTCAAACCTGCTCAATACTTCGAATTTTTATCTGGTTCTCATAGTGATTAAGTCCTTGCCATATGTCAGCATATCTTTGGGGAAAGATTTGAATTCTATTAAGATATTAGAGAGCTTGATATCTCTGTGCATAATATGATTAGAATGTAAGTGACGCAACCCGTTGACAATTTATGCCATAATTAATCTAGCTTCGAGTTCACTTAATTACCCACCTTTAGCTCTGACAAATTATTCCAGATCTCCACCATTGCAAGCTTCGGTAAAGATATAGTATCTTGAGTGAGTTTTGAATACCTGCTCGAGCTTAAGCAAGTTTGGGTTTTTAACCTTCTCTAGATTAATAATTTCATTGTTTATCATCGTTTTAGCCCTCTCAGTTAACTCTTCCCTTTCAATAATTTTACAAGCCAAAGGTTTTTCAGTATCAACCAAGCCTGAGTCTTATTTTAAAATTTTATAGGCGAGAAAGACTAGACCGTACTAGCCTGAGCCTAAAAACTTCTTCATGAGTATAATATAGTTTCCAATCTTTTTGACATCAGTGAGGTCATCATTATCCAAATGTTACATCGATAGTGATTACTTTAGAGCAAATTATTTAATATTAACTTGGGGGTGCACTCCTGAGTTAAATAGTTAAATTAATTATAGTAATTTATATCTATTTTGAATATAAAAGCATTTATTTTAAAGTTCATAATCACTTATTCAAATCTTATTTAAAATAATATTACGTCATCATTTAAGATCTCTTCTCACTTGAAGTAATTATCGATAATCAACTTTTTAAGAGTGGTATCATAATTATTAGCCTTCTCTATGAGGTTGCTAGCCTAGATGTTGCTATCGAATAATATTTGATTGAACTTTTATTACTAGGCTCTCTGAGTCAGGTGTTTTGCAGTAATATTATTGATTGCTTTCATAAATTTGGAGTTGTTTCCAAAACTACCTGCCTTCTTAATAGAATAAGGGTCTTCAGTAGCTGTAAGCCTCATCGAAGAAATCTGTCTAAATAGTTTAGACTGAATCTCTTTAATAGTATACTGCTTTCTTGAATTCAAGATGACACGCTACCTTCTCATGTTATCCGACTAATTCCTAGTTCTGCTTTCTTATCTATTATACTTGCCCTTTTATTCCTCAACTTATGATCCCCTTTCTCTAACTCTCAACATTCCAGAATTGAAGGTGACTTCTGTAGACATTGATGTGATCCCGAATGGAGAAATATCAGGCAGCTTCTAGGGTCTTTCGATTAAGAATTTTTAGGCTTATAGTATATATTAACTATCAGATAATTCGATGATTGAGGCTCTATGGTCCTCTTTGTACTGAAGGCATCGGGAGATGAACTGCATACCTTCAGCAGAGATAATATTATTCGATGGAAATTCATAATTACCCTCAATAAGTTTTCTTTCAAAATTTTGTCGTGTTTTGTCTGTGAATGGCGGGTTACCTACAAGTAATTCATAGTATATAGCACCCAGGGACCAGATGTCAAATTTCTCAGTATAATTTGTATTCTTATCAATTATTTAATCTGGAGACATGTAGGCTGGAGTGCCACATATTGTATTGTCTCTAAAATTAGATTTTTAATCAAGTGGGTTGGTTATTTTTGCAAACCCGAAATCTGATATCTTGACTTCAAATTTTTCTTCTCGAAGATTTACATTTTTAATAAAAGCAATTCTTTCCTCTTTTTTCAAAGTCAATAAATCTCTTTCAGGGAAATGCAGTAAAATATTTGCAAGTTTCAAATCCCTATGAATGATACTGGATGAAGCAATATCTAGCAGACCCTGGACTAGCTGCCTTAGAATGATAATAGCCTCATCCTCATACAGTCTAGACCTAGATCTAACTAAAGAGCTCAAATCGCCAGCATTACATAGCTCGGTAATGAGGTAATGTCTAGATGTAGATTTATAGGCCTTGATAACTTTAATCACATGATTTGAGTTAACCATTTGAAGAGTATCCACTTCAAGAGAGAACTACTTTTTGAGGTATTGATTCTCAGCATCTTTGAGCTTTTTCAGTTTGACTTGTTCTTTTAGTTTTTTTTGCTCAATAGTATCATCGCTTACAGGTTATTCTTGAGCCTCTGAGACTTATGGTAATCCTAGTTCAATAACTTTACAAGCATATCTCTTCCCATTCTTGTATTCTTTCTCGTGAAAGGCGTTGTATACCTTGCCATATTTCCCACTACCCAGAAATTTGCTAAAGTCTATAGTGTACGCACCCACAGTCTTAAAATTCTTATGCTGTTAGAGTGTCTATTTAGCTTCGGGTGATTCTTATTTATTCACTATCGGAGAAGCTTCTCTTTTCTGCATTATATAAATTAGTATATTATTATTATGTTACCTCAATGATTACTTCACAATTATATTTATTAGTTTCAATCTAATTATATTAATATACCTATTTTTTAATCGCAAATATCCTCAACTTGTTTTGTATTAAACATTGATGGGGTTTTGGGGTTTTGGGGTTTTGGGG